TTCTGCTTTCCTTCCACACCTCCCTAGAGAGGAGAGTGGTGGGTGGAGGAGTAAAGCGCTCTGGAAAGGAAAGGGTTGTTGTGGGGTGGCTGTTATTTCTATGGTCCAGCCCGCAGCCACCTTTAACCCAGTCCAGGGGGAGAGGTCTCATGCTGTGTGGTAGGATATTCAGTCTCTGGTTCCATAAATGATTCTCAGCCTGGGTGCAGACTCAGTGGTGTGTCCAGAGACGTGAGCTAGACTTGTTCCACCAGTGAGGGGAATGATGCTAATCTGCTCTGTCCCTGGCCCACCTCATGGGCCCAGCTTATCTCTCTTAGAACCACTGCTTCTTTCCTTAGCCTTCCAGCCCTCATCCTTGAACTTCCTCCTAGCTTCATCATCTTTCAGTTTTACTTTAATGTGCTTCTTGATTAGGATATTGGGGCTGGCAAAGGCAAGTATTATGCTGTTAACTACCCGCTCCGAGATGGGATTGATGACGAGTCCTATGAGGCCATTTTCAAGCCGGTAAGTGGCTTAGGCTTATCCACCACTGGGCTATAAACAGGATTGATCTAAGGGAGGGGTAGCAAAGCACCTCCAGTGTACTTCAGGATCTCTCCCCACTGAGAGGCTGGCTGGAAATGAGATGTGTTTGAACCCTGGATTGCATGCTGTATGGCCAGTTAGGGGAACAAAATTCATCCAGATATTTACTGATGCCTTCTGTGGGTCAGGCCCTCTGCTGGATACAAGAATAGCTAAGACATGATCCATGCCCTTGAAGACCTCACAGTCTGTGGTGTGGGAGGCAAGCACATCCCTGACAGCATGTGGTCAGTTCTGTTTTTGAGGGATGAACAGAGGAGTGAGAGAGAAACTGCTGCCTGGGCTGGGGAAAGGGTAGTCAGAGATGATTTCACAGAGGTAGTGACATTTGAGCTGGACTTTGAGAAATGAGGAGTTACCCATGTGAAGGAGGCGGGGGCTGGAGGGGAGGGGTGGCATTCAGCAGAGGGAACAGCAACAGCAGAAGCATAGAGGTGCCAATACGTGGTATGTAGGCCAGTATGATGTGGTGGAGGAGTGTTGAAGGATGTGGTGGGAAATGTTTGTTTGTCGGGGTCAGTGTTTCAAAGGGAGCCTTGAATGCCATGCTGAGGAGTTAAATCTTCACCTGTAAGCAATAAGGAACCATTACTAGAGTAGTAACCTAGTTAGGTTAGGTTAGGTAGTCGTTTAGCAAACACCAGGTGCCTACTATGTACCTTGTAGTAAGGGCAACAGAAAAGCCTAAGCTATGGTCTCTGTCCTGTTACATTAGAATCTAGTGAGAATGAGATAAACAAAAGTGAAGTGCCTCCTCACAGTATAAGACTCAAAGTCTGTAGGACCAAATGCATAGAGCAGACGCAGCTAAGGGCTGCATCAGAAGGGCTTCTTGGAGCAACCAAAGAAGGGAAAGATCTAGAGAATTGATAAGGAGGTTGTTTTAGGCTCCTTATTAGAGCTAGAAGGCTCTTGGAGATCCTCTCAAATTGGAAAACTGAACAAATTGGGGAAATGAGAAGCCCAGGCTTGTACTCCCTTTTCTCTGAGCGAGAGTGGAAAGGTAGGAGTGAGTGATAAGGAACTGAAGAAAGTGCTGCACCCACACTTTTCAGCCTGAACCTCAAATAGCTTTTCTTGAGGCTGGTAGTGACCAGGTTCTGTCCTTTCAGGTCATGTCCAAAGTAATGGAGATGTTCCAGCCCAGTGCAGTCGTCTTACAGTGTGGCTCTGACTCCTTGTCTGGTGATCGGTTAGGTTGCTTCAATTTGACCATCAAAGGTGAGACCAGGTAGCATAGAGACGGGAGGGCAGGGTCCTGCTGGGTGCTCCTGTAACTTGGCACACCTTCTCCCACCAAAGGACACGCCAAGTGTGTGGAATTTGTGAAGAGCTTCAACCTGCCTATGCTGATGCTGGGAGGAGGTGGCTACACCATTCGTAATGTTGCCCGGTGCTGGACATACGAAACAGCTGTGGCCCTGGACACGGAGATCCCTAATGGTAATAGCTGCAGGGCCAGATTGGGCTGGGCAGCGCAGGAGCTCACGTGCCCCTTTCCCATTGGCTCTACAACCTCTCCTCTTCAGAGTCTGATTCTACTGCTATCCTCTTGTGGTTTTCAGACCGTAGCTGTCAGTTTTTTTTTCTGAGTCCTTTAGTTGACCCTGTCCCCTGTCCCTCAGCTGCTGGTCTGGACAAAATTATCAGTGCTTATCTATAGCTTTGGAATTCATACTCTGTAGGGTAACTGGGGTGGTGACTGAGGGAGTGCTCGCAATGAATATTGCCTAAATTTTTCTAAACCAGGGGCTTCAGCCTGCTTCATACACACACACACACGTGTGCGTATGCACACAAACACACCACTGGTGTGGACACTGGAGAATGGCTTTAAAAAAAGTCGAAATCCTATAGGTACCCAAGCCTCACCCTATCTTGGAGGCATGCTTCTGTTTGATAGTTGGGCTCACAGGTCCAGATAAACCTACAGATGCTTTTCTCAGGGTCCCATGGTGGCCAGGTCTCTTAACTCTCTCACCCTCTGCCCCACTTAGAGCTTCCATACAACGACTACTTCGAATACTTTGGACCAGATTTCAAACTTCACATCAGTCCTTCCAATATGACTAACCAGAACACTAATGAGTACCTGGAAAAGATCAAGTGAGTATACCCTCCCCCACACCCCTAATTGAACATTCCAGGCTCTGGTTGGTCCCTGACCAGAGCCCAGCCACCTCTCTACCATTGGCCATAGGCAGCGACTGTTTGAGAACCTGAGAATGCTGCCCCATGCGCCTGGGGTCCAAATGCAGTCCATTCCTGAGGATGCCATTCCAGAGGAGAGTGGCGATGAGGATGAAGAAGACCCTGACAAGCGCATTTCAAGTAAGCCCCAGACCCAGGGGCCTCTACCTTCTTACTCTGCAGGCAGTTCTGACTTCCCTCCACTGTTCCTGGCTCCACATTCTCCCCAAGCTGCCCACCTGTTGAGAAACCCAAGTACCTGTGCCTGTAGGGATAATTTAGAGGGTCCAGGTCCCCTTCCCTTGGTGTGTTTTGAGGGAACATGCAAGAAAGCGCTGGGCAGACCCTGAGATAAGAATCTGCTCTCCCACCCATATTTTCCATTACTTCCCAGTCTGTTCCTCGGACAAACGAATTGCCTGTGAGGAAGAGTTCTCTGACTCTGACGAGGAGGGAGAAGGCGGTCGCAAGAACTCTTCCAACTTCAAAAAAGCCAAGAGAGTCAAAACAGAAGATGAGAAAGAGAAGGACCCAGAAGAGAAGAAAGGTGGGTTTGGGTTGGGCCAGGACTTGGATCCTGAGCCCCAGGCCCTGGAGGAGGAATTTATGTAGGGCACTGGGAGGAGGGAGCTGACTCAGGCCCTGCCAGCTCCTTAGGGCTCTTCCTTAGCTACTTGGGCCTTTCACTGGTTCCCAGAAGTGGCAGGGCCCACAAAAGAATGAAACTCAATTCGTCATCTTCACTGGCTGATTGAGCCCTGCCAGGCTCCAGAGCCAGGGACATGCCTGGGCTCCCCGTGGTCGGGAGCATGGCTCTCACATACCACCCAAGACCTTTTCTCAGTGTTTCACCCCAGTTTCCCAGGGGGCTGCCTCCACCCACCGGGTTCAGGCTCTAGCAGGCTGGGAAACCGGTCCAACCTGTTTGTCCTCTGCAGGGCTCGCTGGGAAGGCCTGGGATGGGCTTTTCTCTCCTTTGTGTGTCCAGTGAGCTGTAGTGTTGGGGAAGGGGTTTCAGAGTAAGTGGAAATCCCATGGGTCTTTCCAGAGGGGCTGCCCTTGGCCATCCCTGCACTCTTATGTTCTAGAAGTCACAGAAGAGGAGAAAACCAAGGAGGAGAAGCAAGAAGCCAAAGGGTGAGGAAGGAGCCGTCTATCATCTCCCTGGCATTGGAGCACCAGCCCCTTTGTCCCACCACGCTGAGAGGGAAGGCGCAGGGACAGCTGGTCCAGCTTACAAAGGCCTCTTTCAGGGACCAGTCTGTCTGTCTCTGCAGTTCTAGGCAGAGCTAGGAAGCCCCAGCCTTTAGCAGTCACCTGGGCAGCCGGGGTCCTGTGGAAGTCATTGTACCCACACTTTTGCCTTAAAGCCTCTAGGGTGGGTTATCTCATGCCAATCTCTGCTCTCTCCACAGGGTCAAGGAGGAGGTCAAGTTGGCCTGAACAGACCTCTCCAGTTCTGGCTTCTTGCCAAGTTCCCCACCTTTATCCTTGCACAACCCCTCAGATTTTATATTTTCTATTTCTCTGTGTATTTATATAAAAATATATTAAATATAAATATCCCCAGGGACTAGACAGGAACCAGGGCCCTGAGCTCAGGGCACACGTGTTAGGTGAGCTTTTCTAGTAGCCGCCTTGCCACCCATCCCTCCTGAACTCTTAATTTTGAACCATAACGGATACCAGGTCTGGGTGGAAGGGATACACTTAAAGCAGCCATAGGACAAAATCTTGAAGTGCCTGCTTTGAAAAGGTGCCCTTATTGAGCATTTTAGAAGGGGTGGCTGGGTCTTCAGGGACTCCCTGTTGTTCTCAGGCTCTTGTCATCAGCCATTTTTAGATTGATTCTGTTCTCATACCTTCCCACTGGCCCCCAGCGAGCCAAGAAACTCACACTGCTGCCCTCTCTGTCCTCCCTTCAATTCTGCAGATGAAGATTGGTAGTCTAGTTTCCTTTTTGAGATAATATTTTCATTTTTGTGAGAATCTTTGTAATAAAATGGTACATTTCTACACCCTCCTGAGCTTGTCTCATAGTAGTATCCCTGGGTTCATTTCAACTCCACTTCCCTGCCCTTCTGGTGTCCATGAGGATCTGGGCAACCCCTGAAAAACAAAAGAACCCCACAACTTACCTGTCTCAGTACCTCCTCAAGGTTTGAGGTAGACCAATCTTCTCACCCTACCCCAGAAGACCACTCATTAAAAAGCACCACTAAAGGGACGACATTTATTCCTTTTCCAAATGTTACAGTAAAACCAGGTGGAAGAGAATGGTTTTAGCAGTTAGAAAAAAAAAAAAATTACAAATCTGGGGTTTGGCCATTAAAAGTTATTTACAACAATGGGAGGGGGGGGGGAAAAAAAGACAACAAGAAGTTGTTTCACATTACATACCTCCCCCCCACCCCAAAGCTTAATACTTGCTTACCAAGTCAAAAAAGAGACACAGTTGATTCACAAGCTGGAGGTTTGAACTTGAGTAAGACATTTAGAAAAACCTAGAAAGGGGCAGTGTCCTCCCCAGCCCAGGGGCCACTAGGCCCAGCACAGGAGACTACAAACAACAGGGGAAGGTGGACACTCAGGGTGTGGGAGTAGGCACCCCCACCTCTGGCTCAGGGATTTGGGGAGTAAACAAAGCCTACTTGGAAAAGAATTGGGGAAGAAAACCAGCAACTGCCTTCTGCACAGGTGGGGACAGGGAAGGAGACAGGGACAGGGGCAGGAGCATTTCACATCACTAACCTAACTTGGGAAACTGCAAGGGACCATCTTCGACTGGCCTTAAGAGGAAGACCAGATGGATGATGGGAGAATCCACAGGAGGGAGAGGAGGAGCGGGAACGTGGCTAGGGGGCAACAGCCCCTTCCTTTCTGGGCACAGGAAGGCAGCCAGGGCACCAGGTCCAGGCAGTGACCTCACAAGGACAGCACAGTTTTTGCAGCTTAGAGATCACCCACCTGCCCCCACCCAGCTACTCATTCTGCTCGCTCGCTGGTGTAGGGCCACTCTCCGGCCCCGAGGGAGTGGATGGCTCTGCGGCCTGGGGCCCTGCCTCTTCTGTGTCTCCTCCCTTGGAGGCAGCGCTAGCCTCTGCCCCTTTGGCCTGGGGCTCCTGGCTCTCAGGGGTGGCGGCATCCTTCCCTTCCAGGGCAGTGCCTTCCTCGCTGCAGGCACCGATCTCCCCCTGCTCCTGCTCTTCCTCTGTGGGCGAGGAGGCAGACGAATCACCCCCCCCCTCCTTCCGATTTCTCTTGAAGGACAGGCCACTCAATTTGAAAGGCTTCTTGAAAGAGAATTTCTTCTTCTTCTTGGGGGTCTCCTTGGGGGGGACCTCCCCCTTGGCCTCAGCGCCCTGGCTAGGGGGTGCCGGCTCGATGGCATCACCAGTGGCCCCGGCTGCCTCCTCTGTTCCGTTCACGGGGGTCGACTCCCCTTCACCTTTGGGGGATAAGTCTCCATTGCTTTTCACGTGGCCGTTCTCCTGCAGGGCAGAGGAGTCAGCAATGAGGGCCGGGGCTCTTACTCCCCTCCCCCAGCCCGCCTCTGACCTCTTCCACGCAACGGGGTCCCGACTCATTCCGCCGCACCCCCAGAGCCTGGTTGTAGCCTCACCCCACAGCCGGCATCCCGTCAAACCTCTCCCTCCTGCCCCGCACAGGTGCGCAGGGGCCGCGGCCGACAGGAGGCGCTGGGGTCCCGGGGCCCCCACCCACCTACCCCGGGGCGCGCTCTCTATTCCGGGCAGGGCCGCCCGCGGCCGCGGATCCCGGGCTGGCGGGCGAGCCGTGCAGCCGATATTGGGCGGGAAGCCGCGCCGGGGCGCTGTTCCCCGCACCTGGACGGCCTATTTTCCCAGCCTCCTGCTTTGTGTAAACGGCCCCCACCCACCTCAGGCTCTCCCCACCTCGCGGCTCCTCCCTAAAAAAAGCCGTGGGCTATCGAGGTCGAGTCTGCGGGGGGAGTGCCCTCCCCTCCGGCCCCCGCCCCGCGGCCCCCGGGCGCCCCCTTGGCGCGGCCCAGCAGCGCCTTTGTTCCCCGCGCGGCACTCCGGGCGGCCAGGGGGCAGCGCCGGGGGCCGAGGCCGCGAACAAAGAAGGCAGCGGGGCCCGGCCGGCGCCCCCTCCCCGCCCCTCCCCTTGCTTCGCCCGCGGGGGCTGCGGCGCCGAGAACAAAGGGACCGGGCGGGGGAGGGGGCGCCGCGTGTCCCGGGCCGGACAAAGCGCGCGGCCCCGGCCCGAGGCCCTAGAGGGGGCGAGGTACGAGAGGAGGGGGACGAGTCGGGCCGTGCCGAGCGCACCCACCTGTCCGTTGACCTTAGCGGGGGAAGCGCCTGCTGCCTCCTCGGCGGTCACGTCGCCCCGGGGAGCCTTGGAGCTCTGGCTGCCCATGGTGGGGGTTCTGCTGGGGGGCGCCCGGAGCCGCCCCGGGCTCGCGCCGCAGGGGATAGTTCGGTCGGGTGGGCCTGGCCGGCGGAGGGGTGGGGCTCGCGCCTGAGGGGGAGGGGTGTCGGGGGGAAACCTAGCTGCACCCCCGCTCCGCACCGTACCCGCTAGCTACACCCGCCGCCGCTCCGCTCCGCGCCAGAATGCCGCCCGCCGCCCGCCGAGCCGCCTATATATATGCGCCCGGAGCTCGGGGCGGGGCCGGACATTTAAATGAGCGCCCAATCGAGGGGCGGAGGCGGGCTCAAGTCGCGGGCCCCACTTGAGCGGTGGGCGACGCTGGCGGTCTGGTTTCCCCAGCCCGCACGGCTACCGGGGGCAGGTGGGGTCCAGGGTAGGAAGGGGAGAGGCGGGTGCCTGAGGCGAGCCCAGAGGCGAGCTGGGTGGAGGGGAGCTCCTAGAGGAAAGAGGACAGAGTAGTCGTCCCTTCCTCTCACGGCCCACCTCTCTGGTGGACGCCCCAGCTCCTGGAGTGGCCCCCATCGCCTTGGTCCCGCACTGGCAGCCCCTGTCAGTCTCCCCCTAGAACTCTTCGAAGGGCTCACATGCCCAGACTCGTCAGCCGGCTGGTCCCGAGTTATGCTCCAGAGAATATGGTCATGGAAGTCGCAGGGCCCCATCTGGGTTTTCTGCCCCCTCAGGCCGGGAGACCGGTCCGAGGTCCCGCCCACGTGCCTGCCTGTCCAGGGCAGCTTGGGAGGTCTGACCCACCGCAGGGTCACTCTGGTCAGACTGGTGAGGTCGTGCCTCATCCCTCCTCTCAGTCTCTTGGTGGCCCGTCACACTAAGTCCCCACAGATAAGCTCACCTTTGGTCCCTCCTGCTCTCAGCCTGGACCATGACAAAGTCCCATCTGGGGTGGTGCCGTGATCTTGAGGGACATCTCCATCCCCATTTGAAAGCCGAGGAGCCTGAGGCTCAGAGACCTGGACATAACCTGTCTGATTTCGGTGCTCTCCCTTCACATCTGCTCCCCTACATCAGGGCTCCCCGAAGCCGGCAGAGGAGGCCCGCGGGTTGCGGGGGGGGCGCTCAACAACCCTTAAAACACTCCAGTTCCTGAGAAGGAGGAGCCTTGGATGGCCCCTTCAGGGCAGCCCCCAAGCTGCCCAGTCCAGCCGTCAGCACCGCCTGAGTAGGGGAGCCCGGGGACAGGGGCAGGGGGGAGGAGGCTGGAGACTCTCCAGCTGGAGTCTCCTGCCACTCCCCCTAGCCCAGGCCAGGGGGAATCCCAGAGTCCTGGCTGGCCCCGGTTGTGTGTCTGGCTGCCTGCCCTCAGCCCCCAGGAAGAAGGGGATGGGGGCTGGAGGAAGCAAAGTGTTGCAAAAGCAAGGCTGTGTCCTGGACAGCTCAGCACGTCCCTCCCTTGCTCCCTCCCTCCTACAAGTATGGCCTCCTGGGAGGCCTGAGGCTGTGCAGTGTGGAGACACCCCAGGGACTGAGAAATCAGGAACTCCTACAGATCTGACAACAGAGGGGCGGGGCGGGCTGAGATGGCTTCTACATACCAACTCACTCCTGTAGCCTCCATCCCCACCCCCACTCTGAGACTACAGAATACTCTCGGCTTCATTAGCACCCCTCATTTTACAGACTAGGACACTGAGGTTCGGAAAGGGAAAGTGACATGTCCAAGGGCACATAGCAGATACCAGTAGCTGAGGCTAAGAAAGAGTTTGGAGAGACCTGCCAAAAGGGGCTGGGGAGGGGCTTCCCTGGTGGCGCAGTGGTTGAGAGTCCGCCTGCCGATGCAGGGCACGTGGGTTCGTGGCCCGGTCCGGGAGGATCCCACATGCCGCGGAGCGGCTGGGCCCGTAAGCCATGGCTGCTGAGCCTGCGCATCCGGAGCCTGTGCTCCGCAACGGGAGAGGCCACAACAGTGAGAGGCCCGCGTACCGCAAAAAAACAAAAACAAAAACAATAACAATAAAAGGGGCTGGGGGCTGTAAGGAAAGTCCTGGAAGGAGTCTCTGTTGAGATCTGGGGCTGCCTGGTCAGCGTGGGAGGCGAGAAGAGCTAGCTTTGGGGAGAGGAAGGGACACCACGCCCCACAGCAACTCACTGACAGGACGGTGACTTCTCTACCCACTGCCACTAAGGGATGGACGTCGTGACCCACGTCTCTGTCTCGGCCACAATAGGGAGCCCACAATGCTGCCAGGCGCGGCCCGCACCGGCTGGCAGGGCTCAGATGGAGGGTGTGTGAGTCATGGAGGAGTTGGAGTCCGAGGTTAGGAGCAGATGCTAAGGCTCCTGATTTCCAGGCGCTGCCCTGTGGGGATGAGAGGCAAATCGCCGGGATGATTCCAGGAGGACAGAGGAGCATCAGGGCTAAAGGATCCCATGTCTCCAGAGCCCCAGAGGGAGGCTGGGCCACAGGGAAGCCCAAGCGTCCCCCACCAGACATCGAAGGAGGCTGGGGAGGGGGCACCTGGGAGCTGAATCCCTCAGCAAATCCAGGTCCCAGCCGAATCCGGCTTCTGGAAGAGGGAAGAGGCTTAGGATGCTGCGGGTGTGAGTGGGGGTGGTATAGCAGACCCCACGGCCTCCTCCATCCTCCTTTCTCCCCAGCTGCTGCCTGCCCAGACAATGCGCCCATTGTTCTGTATCTCCAGGGGCCTGTGTGCAACTGTGTATGTCTGTTTTTCTCTGTGTGTGACTGTGTATTGCTCGGTATCTGTCTGTGTGTGAGAGAGACTTTGTGACTCTGTGTATGTGTGTGTGTGTGACCAGGTGTGTACTTTTGTAGTTGTGTGAGTCTGCATCTTTGTTTGGCGATGTGTATTTAGTGTGAAAGAGAGCCTTGGTGACTCTCGATGACTTTCTGAGTCTTTCTGGGTATGTGCCTGTCTGTCCTTGAGGTTGTGTTGGTGACTGTGTCTGGCTGTGATCGGGTGTGTAACTATGAGTTATGTGCATAAGAGAGTGGCTACTTTGTGTTTGTGTGAGTGGCTGTGTGTGCCTCAGCCAGTCAGGTCGTGATGCTCAGGACCTTTGGGATGTGAGCTTTTGCCAGGGCAGAGTGGCAGGGGAAGGAGGAGTGGGGAAGACAGGGGGGCTCGAGTTTGGATGGCGGAAGCTGCAGAGTCTAGACTGTTTCGCACATCCCCCATCTGTCCCAGTTCTCCAGTAAAGGCTCAGATGCTGGTCCTGTCCTGAGATGCTCCTAGTCCCCATGGACAGAAGGGAATGGGACCCCGGAAGAGCACTGGGTGGGGCTGAAGGAGGGCAGGAGAGAGCACCGCCTCATAGAGAAGGCTGTGGGGACACTTTGAAGCCTCTGAGGAGGGCCCTGTGGTGGTGATCAGGTTAGATGCGAGGTGAGGGGTGAGGGCAGTATCTTGTCAGAAATGGAGGATGGGCCTTCCTAGGGGAGGGACCAGCATATGCCAAGGCCTGGAGAGGGGAGGAGACACCAGGGGATGGCCAGGTCCCAGTGGAGGCCTCAGGAATGGTGACTTGGCACAGCACAGTTCCCAGCCCCAGGGTCCCCATCTCCTTCCAGGGAGCATCAGCTGGACTCAGAGACCTTAGTTCTGACCCAGGTCCACCTCCTGCCTTTTTTTTTTTTTTTTTTTTTTTTTTTTTGATGTGGGAAACTGTAATTTTACATGATTTTATACAGGAAGAAAAGAAGCAGCAATTTAACAATCATATCAAGGGAAAGAATGGCAACAAGATGATTACAATCAAGCAGAGAGAACTAACTGCAACCTCCAAACAGGCTACAGATCCAGAACTTGGGGACAAGGTCATAAAGTGGTGACCTCTGAAATTGAAGCCAGTAAGTACCATCAAATAATGAAATTAACTGTGTGCAAAAGTAACCTACCTGAAGAGATGGTTTGTAAGCCTGTTGCTAATGGGAGAAGGACGCCTCCAAAATCTCATCAGACACTAAAAGACAAATAATCTGAGATAAACTGAGCGCTAATTAATCATTATCAATCTGTGGCAATGTCATAACACAGGGATGGAGGTCCACATGGAGAAAGACAAGCCAAAGATTAGAACCTGTCAGGGTTTCTTTGCAGGACTGGGCAGGTGGAGGTGTGCCCTGGCCTAACTCTGTGGGCCTGTCTTGCTTTGACGAAAGATGGGTGCATCCAGCTACCTTGTTGAAGGAGGGCACCTCCTGTGCAGACTGTCCACTCGCCATCCACTGCGGGAACAGAACAGCTTCCCAGATTCTCCTGAGAATCAATGCTCTGGGCCAGGCCACCCCAGTGTCTCATCTGCCTTGCAGTTGTATCTCTCCTTATAAATTAAGAAACTGTTATATTCACATGTATTATTTTTTGTTTTTTTTTGTTTTTGTTTTTATTTGCGGTACGTGGGCCCCTCACTGTCGTGGCCTCTCCCATTGCAGAGCACAGGCTCCGGACATGCAGGCTCAGCGGCCATGGCTCATAGGCCCAGCCGCTCCGCCGCATGTGGGATCCTCCTGGACCGGGGCACGAACCTGTGTCCCCTGCATCGGCAGGCAGACTCTCAACCACTGCGCCACCAGGGAAGCCCCCGCCTTCTGCTTTAACCGTAAGCCTGTCCTCTCTCCTCTTGGGCCTCAGTTTACTCATCTGCACAGTGACAGCTTGGCGTCTGTGATTCACGCTCAAGGAGACTGGAGTTCCTCCTTCTGCTCCTGCACAGCAGAGCATCAGCTGTGAGTCACGCAGGGGCCCTGCCCTCAGGGCTTTCTTGGCAACGCCTTACGAGGAAAAGAAAGAGTCAGAGCAGGGTCAGATGAGGGGCCTGTGGGGTGGGGGGGCTGGGGATGGAGGAAGGGCTTCGAGGGCACAAAGGGGAACAGCAAATGGTTTGTGCGGGGTGGGGATGAAGGTAGAGGCCTTGTCTGGAGCAAGATTTAAGGGACAGGATCCTAGGATTTGGGGACTGCCTGGTACAGGGATGGGGGTGGGGATATGGGAGTGATGATGTTGTAGCCCACATTTCTGTTTTGGGTGACTCCTGCCAAAATGGATCCATGACTGAGATAGGGCATCAGAGGAAAAACAAACTTGGGAGGGAGTTGCTGAATCTAGCCTTGCTGAGTTGGAGGTGCCCAGGGAATATTTGCGGGGGACATCCAGGAGGAAGTCTGCAGTCTATATGCTTCAGCACATAGACTTGTGATCATGTTTCCTGAGCCAAAGG